GGGGGGGGGCGTAAGGTGGAGAGAAGGGGAGGGGCGGGCCGGCGGCACCGCTACAATTGCTGCTCAATTGAGACGGGCTAGGGACCTGGCACTGGGCGGAAGGGTCCATCAACACCGAGCTGGTCATAGTTATCCTGGTGGGGCGGGGCGGGACTGGGCGGCAGGATAACACACTACTTGGGCCGGGCCGGAGTGCGCTGGCATCTCCTCCCCTCCCGCCAGCGCTGTGACGCACTTCCCTTCCCGCCAAATGGCGCGGCGCGGTGCGGTGGCGTTCCCCGTACAGACCCCCGCTCCTGGCGGTTCCGCGTAAAGGCGGAGCGGGCAATGAATTAAAGCTGCGTCCAGATACGTGTGCCTTGTGTGCATGAGCCTGCAAGTATGAGAAAATAGTTAACTATCGTGGCGGTGATTGGTCCAAATCTAAATTTTTCTCATACTAGCAGACACAGACGCAGACACCCACGCAGCTGCAGGTGCTGGTTTCGTCTGTGCGCATCTTTGGAGAGAGGTGGTCGGGCGGAGGAAATTTGCACTCGTGTGGAGATTTTCCTGAAAGAAATTTAAGTGAGTTTCTTTACGGCCAAAGGCCATAGCGACAGGTGATCTCTAAAATAAATACGATAGAAAATTCTAGTGTAGCAAAATACTCTTTATATAAACTTCATGGGCACAACTATGCGAATGGAGCATTCTGTTTTGCAAACCCACAAAACATGCGGTTGAACAGCAATCTATAAAATATTTGATATGGCAGCAACTTCGACTGCACTTATCAAAATTGTACAAAATATTCAGTTGATCTCATTCAATTAAAACCTGAGAGATTCATGGGCTTTGGAGAGGTGTTCCAGCACTAGACACATCCTTAATTGATTATTGTTTTAAACATTGAGCTATCCTATACAGTACATGGCAAGATGATTTTAAGGAAAAAGAAGTGATGTGGGAAATATGATCAACATAAGAGAGCAAAAGTAACAGAGCATAAAAGTTATGCCAAGCAAATTGTAACAAAAGTAATAATAATGAAGACTAAAGACTGCTTGTTCCAAAAATATTACAAACTTACACTTCTACCACAAAATACTAAATGGTAGAAAAAGGGATAACAGCAGTAAAAATGTAACACAAAACAGTAATAAAAAGTTAATAAAAAAAAACACTTTGGCACCTTTTTAAACGAATGCTGGCCACTTAGGAATACCAATAAGCAACAGCAATTTACAAATCAGCTACAAAATTTGAAAAAATATTTCAAAAAATCATACTTCAAAAGGCTGGGCGTTAATGTAGTTATTAAAAAAATCAATGCAATGGTCAAATAGTAGGAGGAAACCAAAGGATTATAATCTGTAAATAAACGAAGTAGTGCTAACATTTTAAAGAATTGCTTCGGCCTACATAAATTTGAAAACAAAGAAAAATTTATGTATCCGGTACCTTTACTAGTTAGTTCCTCTCTGTATCACAGCCAAAGCAAATACGATCACATTAAGTGTCATTTTACCCAACCGAAGAGACACTCTTCGAGAATGTTTACCAAATACTACTGACTGTGTTCATTTTGGACAAGCCTGAAACAAGTACTATTGAGCCAACTTGTAACACAGTGCTACAATAGAACTACAGAACACAAGCCAAAGGTACTTAAAAACTTTAATCCTACTCGTGTACATTTAAAGATTAAGAGAATAGAAATACCTGGAACTCAGAAAGACGAAAATGCAATAACTTGTATGTTCTAAACCATGAAACACAACAATTGATCATAAATATACAATGCTGATAAACATATAATTGATTTAGTACAGGTATTTGACAGTGCATCTTGAGTTGTAGCTGGTAATTAACCTATGAATCAATTTATCTTTAATGAGCAAGAAAGGATTTGGGGAACACAACCACAAAACAAGGTAGATCCCTTTAAAATACAGCTACCTAGGTAATTCACAAAAATTTCTCACACAAAGCAGATTTTATGTTTCAAAATAATGCAGCAAAATGTTAACAATTAAAGTCAGAAAACAACCTTGATTAAATTGACAGATCATTCAAGAACTAGAGATACATGATATGGGAGTCTGATGGAACTCTAAGCACATTACGTAAGAATTTTAACAGTGCACTTAAAAATTATGGAACAGCGCACAGACAAAACAGGGTGATTTCTTTGGCTGACTTCAAGGGGATATTTGAATTACTTACACTGTAGATAGATAAAAATATAAACAGCACATAATAAACTTCTCTTTGGAATAAAATTGGATTTCACAGGGAAAAGAGCCTTGCAAACTTGGAGTACAAGTTCCACACCCAACTTGCAACAAAGTTGAACCATGAGAAACTATCGACTAACAGCACTTTGCACCCCCATCTGTGTATCACCATAAAGTAAACTTCCTCCACTATTGACTCTAAGCATTTCAACTCCACCAGCTTCCTGAAAATAAAGAATTAAGGTAAGCTTACGAAAATAAACAATTTTCTGATATATAAGAATCAAAATTGCTTACAGCAAGCCATGGATGGTCAAGTACATCTTCAGCAGAGAGACGAAGTTCAGGGACAGGTTGAAGCATATGAGCAACCAGATCTTTAGCACTATCTGAAATGTCATCCCAATATGGTGATGTAAATGCAAAACGCGCTGCTAATATCCTTGTAAAAAGTTCCTCCTGATCATTTGTGGTACTAACAAAAGGTGGAAAACCACAGAGTAAAATATACAAGATGACACCAGCTGCCCACACATCAATCTGAAAAAAACACAATAGGCTTTAGATGGAGGTATCATGATTGAGAATAAATCAGAATACATAGATAATACTTACTTTGAGCCCATATCCTGTCTCCGCTAGAATTTCTGGGGCAACGTATGTAGGAGTTCCACAGACAGAAAACAATGGCTCAGTAACCTTTTGAGCAAGACCAAAATCTCCAACCTTCAGGGTGTGAACTCCATGGCCATCAACTTCAACCTGTATGGTGTGAAAAAAGAGTCAAAATAATAGGCCACCAACTGAGATTGGATTTCTTAAACTGAAACGTAAAGAATAACCAGTACCAGTAAGTTTTCAGGCTTTATGTCGCGGTGCACAATGGAAAGAGAGTGCAAATAACACAGTGCAGAAGCCAAGTTGCGTATCATGATACTGGAGTCCCATTCATTGAATTTAGTAGCAGTTGCAATTGCATCAAAAAGATCACCTCCCTAGAACAAAAAGGAACAATTTTTATTTTTTTTAAATGAGTAAATTTTATTAATGAGAAGTTAAAAATATAGAAAGAGAAAACTGTGGAATAAACAACCTTCACTAATTCCATCACAAGATAAAGCTGCTCAGGTTCATCATGTTCCGCAAACAGACGAACAATGTTAGGGTGACGTACTTTTCGCAGAATGTCAACCTCACTCTCTATCATATGCTCTTTGCCACGGCACCTTGATTTTTCAATGATTTTCAAGGCAAACTCCCGACCTGAAGACCTGCAAATTATAAGTAAATCAGAAGTAGAACAATAAATTATAAAAATAAGATTAAAAAACAAGTTAACTTTCAAAACTGTATACCCTTACCGGTCAACACATCTTCGAACTTGAGCAAAGTTCCCATCTCCAATAGTTTCCAACACAAGGTACTTGGTATTGATGGCAGATGGAATATTTGGGTCAGTAGTACCCGACACCGCTTCAGACTGAGATTTTGCTGCCTTTGTTTTACCAGGCATTTTGGGCATAATTCCACCTAATAGATTGCAACCCAAAGATATAAATCAGATATTATAAATTGAGACCAATAATTGGAGACATTAACACAATATATTACCAGGTGCTGACACTCTACCATTGCCACCACGATTCCACATAGCCCCTTTCCTTTGAGACTGAATGGACTTGTACTCTATCAATGAGACATATACATAATTAGTAGATAACTAGTAAAGCCTTGATACCACTACCATTAAATGAAAGCAGTTAAAATTTCTTTCCCAAGAATAATTCCACAAATATAAATTCATACCTTCCTCATCCAGCTCAAAATCTTCCTGAGAATATCGTTCTGAACCATACACAAAAAAAACATCATCCTCACCAAAAAATTCTTCAAACTGGGTAACCTAGAGCAAAAAAATCTCTTTTGAAGGACAGCCATCTATTTTCACTGATCCCAAAACTCAGAACTGGAAATATAATCTACCTGGACACCAGACTGGGAGAAGACTTTCCTTGCTGCCCCTGTGTCTAACTTCACCGCCTCAGTGATACAGGATAGTACATGATCCATTGATGGGGCATTTCTGCGGTTAATAAGCAATCTTACTACTTTCCTAGGTCTTGTACCATTCCTCACTAAAGTTAAAATACGAGGTCGCACAAATTCTGGAATACCGCTACGAGATGTCCCTCCAGATCGTGGTCTGTCTCCACCACCAGGGCTAGAAGGGAAAATAAATTACCAGAAAAGTGCAGGTATAAAACACAAAAAATGTAAGGATACAGGAAAGACAATATCAAGTGACATACACAGCATTTGGTTTCTTTTTGCCCAAGGTCCCATTATTGTTGGAGTAATCAACACGTTTGAAAGTTTCTCCTGGCCCTGAACAGAGATATTCTTTTCCATCATCAAGTTGGTCTATAGACTGCACTTTACGACCATCCATGGTGTAGATAGTTCTCACGCCAGAGGGCAGTGTAACACTATGTTCCAATGCTCGAGTAAGGTCTGACAATAAACTGTCAAATGACCTATATCTGAACACAAGCAATGTACTCATTAGAGGATGAAAATTCAGAGAAAGGAACTTTTGGAAATAAATCATGAGCAGTAGGACTTACCTCTCAGCTGCCACAGGCATGACAACACCTTTGAAAAAACGATCTCCATTTCTTAAAAAACGCACTCTTTTAGCTTTTTTTGCTTGATTACGAGCAACTAAAGTACGAGAGGAGCAGTTTTCTTTAAAGTCATCTTCCTCTAGTTCTTCAGTGGTTGGATGGAAGGAAATGTGGGTTTCCATAGCATTTGATCCATCTGATGACAACGCATCATCTGCAGCAGTAGGTTCTCCAATAGGAAGATCAGTCGGTGATGAAGGTGACAATGCTAGTGTATTTGACATCATACTTTCACTGAAAAGAAAAGTTAATTGCTTAAACCAAAGCAAACAAAAGTTATTCCCCGTTCTCAATTTGGGAAACAATAACAGGGTCAAGTTAGACTCAAATATACCTCTGCTCCAGGAAAAACTCATATCAACAGCTAAAAATTACACAATAACAAATAGGGGAAAGGGAATCAAAAAGTAATATCAGCTCACAGGACCAAATTAAAGTGATTATTGAACACATAAAGTGGGCTCCTGGCAGGTGTAAGTGTGTCAAGAGTACATTTCAGCCCAAGGCTTTCAAAAAGGGAACACTGAATAGGTTCCTTGTTACGATTGAAATGGATACAGAGATTAGCTTAAAGATATATGAAATGAGAGACATTTCGAGGTGAGTGGCAGATATGAAACAACAACAAAATTACTGACTGTCAATGAGTCAGGTTAGGATTGGATACAGATATGTAAATAAATCCAACAAAAGAAGATTGACTATTAATGGTTATTTGAAAAAACTAACTGTCAGAACAATATGGCATGACATGCAGCCTACAAGATGTAAGAACCACATTACCGTAGACCGAGCCCTAGCCGGGTGACTTTACCTTAGAGTAGCTTAGCCCAAGGGGATGTCAATCAGATTCGGCCCCCAGCCATGCGTTTCATGATGGCATGTCTTCAACCAAAAATTCTTGTGGCACAGCAGGCAACGGCTTGAAACATCGATAATGAATAGTTTTCGAAGGATTTCAGAGTATATAGTGACAAAAAGTTAATCTAATGTGGAGCCAAGGAACAGGGCGTTCCCATCCCATAGGTTGGAAAAGTGGGGTGGATTAGAAAATGAGAAAGAAGGTACACTCGTCGTCAAGACCTTAATTGTTGATAGCAGATACTACACAGCGTTCAGTTCTCCACACAATTCATTGATGTACTCAGTTGGGAACTCTTTTCACAACTTGAGTTTAAGGATCAGCAAATATATTTCTATTATTTCTGTTGGTCTGTGGTAAATACTACATACTCATGTTGGTTGCCATGCTTCAGGTATGAAAACTTCATAGGGAAGTTGAGTTAAATTCAATGAATACTAAAATACAATTTTAAGAACAGAACCATAACATATAACATGTATTCATACGATGCCATGTTTCTACGGTCACACTTCTACAGTTCATACTGTGGTTTGACGACAATTCAGCAAAACATCATAGACAGCAGTGGACTTCCCCTGTCCCATGTCCAACAAGTCTTGGTTTGGTGGTAGAGAATCAATAATTTGTATAATAACAAGATCACATTTGTGCAAGTGCAAAATTGATTTATTAGCATTTCACAGGTATAACAACTGGTGTAACCATTACACGCACTAGAAAAATAAAAATAAATAAAACATAAGTACATAATTCCATTTTAGAACTATCACAGTTGAAAAACAATCTTATTTTAGATGTAGAGTTAATGATTTAATGGAATACATTTCATATTCAAGAATTTCAAGAGGTAACATTTAAAACAAATGGACAAATTAATATCACAATAGCAAACTTGCATAACAGCAAGGCACAGAACAGTGCAAGTTAGAGTAAGTACACAAGACCAGACAAATTAAAGAGTATAGAAAAAAAATATCTATTGTCTTCATTATGCAAATACCTAGTACTATCATTTAAATAGTTAAGTCTTCTGCCAAATATTGCTCACACAAGCTCCAACATAATAAACTCGAACACAGAAAAAATTCTTATCACTGGATGATTTTTAGAACAGTAAAATGTTGGTTTCATATCAGAGGATATGAACAACAAAAATGGAAAAGTGGTAATTGGAAAAAAAATGTTAACAAAGCAAAAAGGGTGAAAGAAGAGTTTACACAGTGGGGAAAGGATAGATTTATATTTTCCACAGGAGTAATACTGATTACTTGGTCGTGAGGCTAATCTTTGTCTGCACAAAATAAAAGCAAAGGAAATAATAACCCTTATTAAAAGAGAGAAGCATTAACCCATGAACTACCATTTGTCTTCACATCATCTTTAGAGAGAGATTTCTTCAAACCAAGCAGTTCAGCAAATTTAGCAGCAGCAGGATCACTGCCTACAGTAGCAACAGCAACAACTTCATTTCCAACACAATAATGGGCGATGAAAGATAAGGCAGCAAGATCACCGGTGATAATAATGTCATCAAAACCTGCCCCGTACCCTGGAACAGAATAGAGTAGATTATTAATAACAAGTGTCAAATGAAATTTCTTTATTAAGAAGTTTTAATTTTACTCTGAATGGTTTTTTACCAGAATAACGAACGCTAGTTCCAAACAACATGGTCCAAAAGAAGGGCACACTTTTTAATTCAGTTTGTTTTCCAACCATATTAAGAGCGGCAATTCTGCCATGATAATGTGCAAGTTGCCAATGTCCAATACTTGCAGCACGATCATTTGCAGCAAAAACTGGAGCATATGCTGCATCTCCAGCAACAAACACATCAGAGATGCTGCTTTCCATAAACTGTAAAAACACACAATGTGAATGGTTACCATTTTGGAAACTCCTTTTACATCTCAACTTCAGACTGGGTAGAAATGGCTTTTACCTTATTAACCACAATGGCGCCTCGTTGCATTTCAATACCACTATCTAGTAAAAAGGAAGTACTAGGCTGGGCACCAATCCCAAGAATCACAACATTGGCAGGCAAGACCTGACCATCTGACAGCTTCACTCTACTAACGCTATCCTCTCCTTCAAAGCTAGACACATCCAACCCCAAACAAAACTTGACACCCTTCTCATCAAACAATTGCTTGATACGAGCCCCCACTTCCTGGCCCAGAATAGGCTCGAAAGGAACAGACCCTCTGCCGACAACAGTCACAGATTTTACTTTCCCAACACAATAGGCAGCAGCTTCCATTCCTGAAAAAAACAATTACAAAATGAATTTCTTAATCCACTAGAACAAAAGAAATCTAATAGAATTTTAAGTCACATACCAATGAAAGAAGCTCCAACAATCACGACATCTGACTCTTTGTTGAGGACTTTGAAAATTGAATTAGCATCAGCAATCGTACGAAGTGAAAAGATGTTTCCAAGTTCTGAGCCAGGTTGATTTGCAGTATTTGCTCTGATATAAATGAAAAAAGATTGGATTCATTTTAAATGAACAGCATAGTTACTTTTTAAAATGCTTTCAGAAGGAAGGTCTAAATGAACTGGAACTCACCTTGATCCTGATGCAACCAGAAGTCGAGAATAACTTATCTCACTGCCATCATCTAGACACACCTTCTTATCAGTTGTGTTAACAGATGACACAATTTTCCCAGTGTGCACTTCAATGCCATGATCCTGAACCAAATATTAATTAATGATTAATTTCAAAATAATGAATAGTTTGTGATACCTCATTAATTCTTGCAACATAAATGTAGGATACATTACCTTGTAAAAGGATTCCTCCCGAAGTTGCAATTTTGCTATGTTAGCATCTAGCATTTTACTTAACTTAATACGGTCATATGGTAAAGCAAGCTCAGATGTGATCATTATGATTTTGCCTGAGAAACCTTCTTGCCTCAAGGTTTCAACAGCACATGCGCCAGCAGCACCTGGAAGCAAAGCAAATAATCTTAAGGTTTTATTTTTCATAGTGAAAAACTTCTTTAAAAAAATAAAATATTGTACACGAACCTCCACCAATTACTACAAATGTCCGGGAGTCTTTGCCACAGGGGGACGTCATGGCCTTAACAATTTTGCTCGACTTCAATGCATCCTTGTGAGCTTTCACCTTAACACGTCCATCTTCAACGCTGACATCAAAACAAGGTAAGCTGTCCAGGCCTGGAAAATCTTCAATGTCACCTGAAAGAAAAAATTATTCTAATAGAATGAAGCAAACATTTATAAATGCTGCTGGGTGAGTACCTATCAGTATACATACCAGTGGTGACATTAAAGCATGCTCCATGCCAAGGGCAGCGAACATGGCCATCTCCAAGAACACCTTTGATGAGTGGAGCACCGTAATGTGTGCATTTTGAGCCAATTGCAGTTATCTTCCCTTTCTGTTTGATCACAAGAACTTTGCCACTGTCATCAGGCATGTCAAATGCTTTCATCCTAAAATAATAAAAAGAGAAAGCATTTGTAAGTTCAGGTAAGTTTTAGTGAGGAAAGATAGAGGTACCAATAAATATCACTTATGAATAAATGAATAAATATGTATTACTTACTCATTTTCCTGAAGATCAGACTCGTTGCAAACATAGTCTTCGACATAATCAGACGGAGTAGTGCCACCATTGGACCCATCATTGTCTGCAAAGATGGAGAATAACGTGCTATCATTGCTAGAGTTTAGTTTGACTAACATTTTGGACAAAGCAGACTAGAATACACACACCCACACATTTTCAGGTATAAAAATATTTTGCATTATGAAAGTTTTTTTTTCTATTACAAGCAAATAAAAAGCAATTAAAATGCACAAACATTGCAAATAAATATGCTTTCTTACCTGGCTTTTTAGTGCGTCTAGGATTTATTTCAACTAGAAAAGAATATAAAAATAAATCAAGAGTTCCATGCAAAATTGCCTAAAACTACATGCTATTAGCAAACAACCCAAATTTTAGCATTCACTAAAAAGCAGTGGTGTAAATTTAACAATTAATCACAATAACAGTACTGTGAAGACTAACGGACGAGTTCAGTCTCTTACATGAATTAGCGCTGCTACTCAAAAACTGGAGTTGGTACTTTGAAATAAATTGAGTATGCTTCCGAATGAATGGATAGAACAAATCTTGCTTCAAACCAAAGTCGATGGCAGATAGTAATCCTGAATATGAAACCAAAGTCTGACATAGGCAAGAATGATACTAAACTAAGAGACTTGAGGTAGGTCAAGGTCTTATTCCTCTAACAAAGGAAAGGGTACATTTGCAAAAAGCAAACTACGTAAAATTGAATGAACATGGATGAGAGATCAACTAATAATGAAACTCTGAAAATTTCTTCACATCACAGTTAAATCTTATAGCATGCCTTGGCTCTTTCGGACTTTCTCAAGGACCATCACCTTTCACCAGGTGGGTGTCCTTGTCACATTCCTCAGTTGAAACTGGTCAGCTGATAGCCCACCACAAGTCAGGTGTACGGACATGACATTGAACGAAAAGACCGTCGGACACGCATTGCCGACAAGTCCCATTTAATAACAGCTCGTGAAACGCCAGGAAGTGAAAGGAGTGCTTTGCGTGCTGAACACTCGAGGTTTGGCAACCAGACCCAAGGGAAATTGCACCTGTCCGCTTGAAGGTTACTTACGTTTGCCTCTGGAGTGTCCGCTTCCCATGGTGGAGCTGGCCATATGACGTTGGGTACTGAGCGCGGCGGGCCTTCTCACCAGTATTTATAGGCTCGTCGACTTCGCTCGCTGACTAATCCTTGAAGATACCTCCCACTTCGGCACTTCCACTGACTCAGAGAAAGAGAGCAGCGAGCAGCGACGTACACACCGACCGCGGCCGCAGTTCTAGATGCGTGTATTGTGTACCACCTGTCCGCCGCCTTTGAGAGGCCCCACAAGACTTCTCCAGAGCGCTACCGGTTTTGGTTGGTCAGCTCCCAGGGGAGGGGGCCAATGCGGTGCAAGCGCGCGGAGCGCTGGAAGCTTTTGAACAAGGGCGCACGACTGGCAGGGGAGGCGAGGCGGGGAGGGGCTGGAGCGAGAAGCTCGTTTTAGTAAACAAATTAGCAAGCGCGTAGTCAGTAAAGAAAAATAATAAAAAACAAATACGTCTGCATCAAATATTTATTGCACATTCTCAAAGGGCATTAAAATCAAAAGTTTGTAATGCCCAATGCATACAAATCGCATGTATGGACGTTCACAATTTATTTGAAACAACAGATTTTCAGTAGTCAAACTAGTTGGCACTTTGTCTTTAGATCACCAACTTCATTCCAAATCACTACATCCTGAGATTTATTCTTCAACATACTGTTTACATAAGTTTAATAAATAATGTTGGGCCACTTCAGTATATCATAACGGTAAGTAACAAAATATTGGATACAAATATTACAGACAAGTTTGAGGAACCGCTGAGTGGTGGGGTAACAGTAAGCGGGGTAATTTTGACAAGGGTGGAAAAAGGTCTTATCGAGACTGGACTGTGTGTGCTCATACGAGGAACACCTTTTCTCATCCCAAGCCAAAACAACTCCACCGCCAAAACCAGCCCCCACTCTTCAGTAGCCAAACAATACCCCCTCATAATAATATCGTCTTAACATGAAATCAAATGGAGGTCACCGGAACCTCTGGCATATAATGCTGCAGCGGCAGCGCCTGAGTGGCAGTGAAAGTACTGCCCGGGTGAAGCGGCAAGGAGTTACAGTATTTACTACTTACACCTAAGTCAATATGACAGTCGCGCCCTGTCGTCAACAGTTACTGACTTGGCTCATTTTACCGAAGGCTAGTAGTGCCTAGTAGTCGGCAGATGGCCATTTACTGAACCGTACCGCTGAATTCAGTTAAATGGGCAAGGATCGCTTTGAGAGTCCCCTTACATAATAAAGAGTCATTCCTAGGCTTCATTTCCCCGCAACGCAGGTCAAAAGTCTAAAAACTGAATACAGGAAGTTGAGCGTCGATTCACTACCTTTGTCGGAAAGATACAGATAACGTGCGTCTGCAAGTCAGCAACGCCTACACTGAACATGATAAAATTACTGCTGAAATAAAACTGATAAGAAACTTCGATAGCAGGATTACTACTCTTTCTTGCACTTCAAGTACCAATGAAGCAAAGCAATTGAAGCAAACGAAAATTTAGAACATCGTTTTTCTTGTGTTTCTGATCTCCTTGACAATTTTCACAGCATGCACGTTTTACTCTCTTACTCGCCCAAAAAAATGGGTTCTCGTGGTTCAAGACTAAAATGAACTGAATGGAATGAAGATTATTTTACACTGGATTTGAGATCAATTTCACTGGCAAGTTTCATGAAGTATGACAAATACGCTTGATTCCAGTACCAATCAAACTTGGATCCACCTGCAGTTGGTTAGTGCTTTGAATAATGCGTATATGTCTCACTACAAGAGATATTGTTCTCAAAATCAAGTGCAAAACATTCTTCATTCGATTGGGCGAATTTTACTCCTGAACCGAGACAC